GGCCCACCGTGAGGACTCTATGTTCCCTCTCCTTGGGGCATCACTGCAGGGATGCTGAGACTCCTGGGGGCCCGGAGCGCAGGGGCTGGGAGGTCAGGACTGCTCTGGAGGCGATGGCCCTCCGGCCGACTCTGCCTCAGTGCTGGCTCCTCACCCCAGACCAGAAAGATACAAGCCCAGATGGGGCCCAAGCGCCTCTGGCTGTGGCAGGGCAGGGGCTGGCTTGGGCACGTCCAGGCCGTCTGGGAGGGCGCTGGCCCGTCTGTCTCGAGGCAGTCGCCTCGCAGACAAAGACACAAGAAGGGGAAGCTGGTGCTGACGGGTGCACAGGCTTAGGCACTGGGCACTGGGGGCTTTCAAAAGAGGAGGAAGCAGGTGGAAAGATCACTGTGGGTGCGCCCGGCAGGGGAACGTACACTGACCGCCCCCCACTGACCGCCCCCCACTTTCTCGCTCCCCTCCCCAGGCCCGGTGCCCGAGCCATGGCGCTGCCGCGGACCCTGGGGGAGCTGCAGCTGTACCGGGTCTTGCAGCGCGCCAACCTCCTTTCCTACTACGAGACCTTCATCCAGCAGGGAGGGGACGACGTGCAGCAGCTGTGCGAGGCGGGAGAGGAGGAGTTCCTGGAGATCATGGCACTCGTGGGCATGGCCACCAAGCCCCTCCATGTCCGCCGCCTGCAGAAGGCGCTGAGAGAGTGGGCCACCAACCCAGGGCTCTTCAGCCAGCCGGTGCCTGCCGTGCCAGTCTCCAGCATTCCGCTCTTCAAGATCTCTGAGACTGCCGGGACCCGGAAAGGGAGCGTGAGCAACGGCCATGGCAGCCCGGGGGAGAAGGCGGGCAGCGCCCGCAGTTTTAGCCCCAAGAGCCCTCTGGAACTTGGAGAGAAACTGTCCCCGCTGCCTGGGGGACCTGGGGCAGGGGATCCCCGGATCTGGCCAGGACGAAGTACTCCAGAGTCCGACATTGGGGCGGGAGGAGAAGAGGAGGCAGGCTCGCCCCCCTTCTCCCCACCTGCAGGGGGAGGAGTCCCTGAGGGGGCTGGGGCCGGGGGTGGTCCAGATCGCCTGGAACCCGAGATGGTGCGCATGGTGGTGGACAGCGTGGAAAGGATCTTCCGGAGCTTCCCCCGGGGGGACGCTGGGGAGGTCACGTCCCTGCTGAAGCTCAACAAGAAGCTCGCGAGGAGCGTGGGACACATCTTCGAGATGGACGATAACGACAGCCAGAAGGAGGAGGAGATCCGCAAATACAGCATCATCTATGGCCGCTTCGACTCCAAACGGCGGGAGGGCAAGCAGCTCAGCCTGCACGAGGTGAGGCCAGCGTCCCCGGCTGCCCCCACGCCCAGGCCTCGCCCCAGTTGCCGCCGCGAATCCTCACTCCCCAAGTCTTGCACTGCTGCCTGACCCGACCCCAGGCCTGGACCGCTCCCCCCCAGACTCAACCCCAGCGGCTCTGGTGCTTCTGTCCGGAACCCAAGGGGAGGCAGGGATACAGGCTGGAGCTCAGCTGTCCAGCTCCAGGCCTCCGCGCGGAGCCCCCAGAGCGGGCGAGGCCTGTGCGTGCCTGAGGCACTGGGGTCGCTGTCTTACTGCTTCAGAAAACTCCTGTCTATTATCAGCTCCCAAGTGGGCGGGAGGATGGGCCCGTTGTCTGAGGCGGAAGGGATGCGAGCAGGCCTGGGCGAGGCAGTGGGGGTCAGGACTTTGACCGCTCGGCGGCTCTCTCCACAGCTGACCATCAATGAGGCTGCTGCCCAGTTCTGCATGAGGGACAACACACTCCTCCTGCGGAGGGTGGAGCTCTTCTCCCTGTCACGCCAGGTGGCCCGAGAGAGCACCTACCTGTCTTCTTTGAAGGGTTCCAGGTGAGACCCCTCTCCAGGTCCCTCCTAGATTCCAGTTCTGGCAAGGGGCCCGTCGAGTCCTCACCGCCAGCTCCGGGGCCTCCCAGCCCTCCTACGCCCCGCCCCGGCGCATCCTGCCTGGGCCCAGCCAGCCCCTCCTCCCATCCACCTGAGCTGCCCTCAGCTGGGCAGGGCCTGGTCTGGAGACTGCGCTCAGCTGCTCTCCTTCCTGTGTCTCCGGGCGGGGCGCGTATCCCCACCTGCTGCGGGCCCTGCCTGTCCTGTGTCGCCCCCCCCACTCCCTCTCCTCACTCCTCGTGTTTGCAGGCTCCATCCCGAAGAACTGGGAGGCCCCCCGCTGAAGAAGCTGAAGCAGGAGGTGGGTTTTGGAAGTTGTGGGAAGCTAGGGCACCTTTCCTATGCCCCTGGCCTGGCAGCTCCTAAATCCCCTTTTGGAACATCCACAGGTTGGAGAGCAAAGTCACTCCGAGATGCAGCAGCCTCCCCCAGGCCCTGAGTCCTATGCACCCCCATACCGCCCCAGCCTGGAGGAGGACAGCGCCAGCCTGTCGGGGGAGAGTCTGGACGGACACTTGCAGGGTGAGTGGGCACCAGAATGCTTTTGTCCTCACTTGGGGAGTTGGGGGATGAGGGCGAGGGAGGGGGAGCTAGGAGGCGGCTGCCTGGAGCAGGGTGGGAGGCCTGGCTGGCCGGGGCAGAAGGAGCCTGGCCGAGCGGTTGAGGGTGGGGGTCCTCGGTGTGGGGGTCCCTTACCTGACACGTGCCCATGCCCACAGCTGTGGGGTCATGCCCAAGGCTGACGCCGCCCCCTGCTGACCTGCCTCTGGCATTGCCAGCCCACGGGCTGTGGAGTCGGCACATCCTGCAGCAGACACTGATGGACGAGGGGCTGCGGCTCGCCCGCCTCGTCTCTCACGACCGCGTGGGCCGCCTCAGCCCCTGTGTGCCTGCGAAGCCGCCTCTGGCAGGTGAGGCAGCCAGCAGCGCTGTCCCCAAGCAGCCATGGCCGAGGCCCGCGGCGAGATTTGGTCCTGGGGCCAGGCTGGGGGGAGGAGGCGGGAGGGCGGGGTCCAGCCTGGCAGGGGGCTGGCGGAGGGACCCTACAGGGTTGTCCCCCCAGAGGGTCTGCCTGATGGGGAGCTGTGCAGGGACAGAAGGGGTGGCAGGCGCCCAAGGAGGGTCACCTGTAAGAGACGCTTGGCTAGAACTTTCACCAGTGCTGGAGGGCGGAGGGTGGAGGCAGCCAGGAGCCTGGGTGTGGTTGCCCAGTTTGAAGTGGAGAAGCCCAAAGGGGGTGCTTTGTGTGTGGCTGGGGGAGGGGAGAAGGCCAGTGGAGGACTGGCCAGCGGCTGGGCTGAGAGTGACGCAGCAGACAGAGCCACCAACCCTGGCTTGGTATTTTTAAACAGTATGTGGGTGGGGAGTGGGGGTGGGGACTAGGGGGGGCTTTTCTTGGGGAGGAGCTGGGAGGCTGGTTTCTGTGTGCCCCCTGTTTTGGCTTCTGAGACACTTGGGGGGGCAGGGTAGGGGTGGGTGGAGCCTGGGAGGGGGCCAGGGATGAATGGGGGCGGTGGAGCTAGGAAGGGGGGTGGGGGAGGGGAAGAGGTCAGAGCCAAGCCGCCCCCACAGCTCCTGACAGAACCAGAAATTCCAGCGGAGCGGAGGCGGGAGAGACACAGAGAGACACAGAGACAGAGCTACACACAGCCATTCAGGGGAGGGGCGCGCACACGCTTGGTGCGGGACCCCTCGTGCACCTGCAGTCATTGAGGAAATCGGCTCGTGGTCTTGGGCCTTGCAGGCGCCTCTGTTCTCAGCCGCCTCCCCAGCCTGCTCCCCGCAACCTCCTGACCTGCCTGTTCTCCCCGCAGAGTTCGAGGAGGGGCTTCTGGACCGATGCCCGGCCCCAGGACCCCACCCCGCGCTGGTGGAAGGTCGCAGGAGCAGCGTGAAGGTGGAGGCCGAGGCCAGCCGGCAGTGAGGATGGACCCCACCCGCCGGACGGCAGCTCCAGCTCCGAGCCGGCCTCGCCCCACGGCCCTGGATCCTTCCGCTGCCCGTCACCCGCCCCCCACCTGCTCCCCACCCGCTCCATGGATACAGACCTGTGGGGCTTCAAGCAATAATGAGCAGGGGCCTGGGGGGGGCCCCCCCCGGCCCGGGGCAGGGGGGGAAGGGTTTTTGCCCCTTGCGTCGGGGCTCTGCCTCCCCTCGGGACACTCCTCTCGCCTCCAGTTTGAACCCGTGGTGTGGACGGTGGGGCCAGTTTGGACATGGGGGAAAGGGGACTTCCTTGAGAAGGTCCAGCAGCTGGAAGTGGAAACGCTCCCCCGCGAAGCGCGGGCCTGAGGACACTGGACCTGTCCTCCTCCCCTCTGCCCCCCCATTTTTGTGCTTCTAGTTTGTTCTTTAATTTAACAAGTGCTGCAGTCTGCCCACCCCGTCCGTCTCTCCCCCAAGTCCTCAGCAGTTCTTTCCCTCCTGCCCTCTCTGGGGAGGGGCTGGGCGTGGGGTCTCTCTCACCGGCCCCCTCAGGAGGCCTGGGTTGGACTCAGGGTCTCCCTCAGCCGGGGCTGGACAGCAGCACCTGTCTGGGCAGTTAGAGCGTCTTTCTTTTCAGATCGTGTACAGTAGATTATTTATTTTGTTATTTTGGAATAAAGTTTATTTTATGGCTTAGGATCTATGACCCCCCTCCCCCAAGGAGGGAGTGCGGTGGCGGTGGGGCGTGGAGGGAAGCTGGCAGTGGACGGGAAAGGGTCAGTGGCAGGGCACCTGGCACCCCGAGGGGCCACACCCTGGCCTGTGCCCCAGCCTCGCCCCTGCCCCAGGGCAAGCTGGTGTGTGGCACCACCGAAGCTGCAGCCACATGCGCTCGGGGCACCCCCGGGCCCAGCCGGGCAGCTCTACTCAAAGCCGCCCGCAGGGTGGGCAGCGCCCCGGGCGCCGGCGTGGGCCTGTCCCCGCCTGAGCTCAGCCCGGAAGCTTGTCCCAGCAGGGCCGGGCCGGGACCAACCGCGTGGCACAGTGGGTATAAAGACCTCAACGCTGCCGTCTGCGTGGTCGCGACCCAGCACCTGTCTGCCAGGGACGTGGGCTGTTTGGGACTCGTATTATGGTAGGGACGGAGCCACTCCAGTAGCCAAAGGTGGAGGCCCGCCACACGCACCAGGGCTCTCCAGGGCCACTCTCGGCCACACTCCCCGCCACACAGCGCGTGGGGGCGGCTGCGGTGGGCAGGATACCCTCCAGGCCCAGCCCGCGCTCGCCTCGCCCATTCCCGGGCGGCCCATCTTCAGGGGCGCTTCTTGTGCGCAGGTGTGTTGGGGTGTGTCTCACTGGGGAGCCTGAATTTCCCTTCCAATACCGGAAGGGGAAGGGCAGGGGTGTGCAGGAGGGGGAAGGGAGGGCAGGCTGCACCTTCTGCACACTCCCAGCGAAGTCTCTCCTGACCAGGGAGGGGATGGGGATGGGGGCGCCCTCCCCTCTCCGAGTGCTGCTTGGCAGGAGCATGGCGGGAGTCCAGAGCAGGTCCAGGGGCTGGCAGAGCTGTCTCTGGGCTGCTTCGCCAAGCCCAGTCACCCTCTGGGGCTGGCCCTAGGTCCAGGACATCGAGATCCCAGACTGCCCATAGGGCGAGGGCGGCAGGAGCGGCTGGGCGCCCAAGGCCCCGCCCCCTGGCTCCCCCTGCCCCTCCAGGAGAAGCTTGGTGAGGTCTTGCTCAGTGGGAGGGAGCAAGGGCGGAAACATGTCTTCACCGACCCTGCAGGAGGAAGGGAAGGGCCCC